CTCATGTTACCCAGGCTGGAGTACAATGGCGCGATCTCGGCTCACCGCAATCTCCGCCTTCTGAGTCAGGCAATTCTCCTGCCTCAGCCTCCCGAGTAGCTGGGATTACAGGCACACACCACCATGCCCAGCTGATTTTTTGTATTTTTAGTAGAGACGGGGTTTCACCATGTTGACCAGGATGGTCTCGATCTCTTGACCTCGTGATCCACCCGCCTTGGCCTCCCAAAGTGCTGGGATTACAGGCTGGAGCCACCGCGCCCGGCCATAAGAACTCTTAAAACCATAGTGTTATCCCTATTTAGCTAGTGAGGATATAAAACCCAAGAGGCTGAATGGCTTGCTCAATGTTTATCAGCTGATAAAGTATAATGCTAGCATTTGAATGTTGAACTCATCATAAATTTTGTAATAAATCCCATTATTTCCCTGGATTTTGTTTTAAAATATTAAATTTTTATAGTATCAATGTTTTAATTCTAACAGAAAACATTGGCAGAATTGAAAAAAAAAGTAAAAAATATTAGAAAAAGAGCCTTTCATAAGAGTTGGACTATTACATACATAGCAGATGCTCCATAAATTCCTGTTAATGTAAGCAAGTTGGGGGTACGGAAACTAATGAGCTAAAAATATCTCAGAACACTGGACAAGAGATAAAATTTTCCATCTCAAAAAAAGTTACAATTATTAGATTCAGGATTGTTACTAGATGGATTTAAGTGCTTTAATAACAAAATAATTATTTAAGTATGAGGTTTAATTCTTCCTGTTCTGTTATGCTACTGTATCAAGACCTGAGAATTTGGTAAGAACATGTTGAAATGATGTGTAATTAACAAGGATGCTACAGACAATTCCTAGAGATGCAAAGCAAATACTTCCTTTCACTGTAAACAATATGACTAAGTCCACTTGTTGAAGATATCAAGATCTATTTATATTCACTCTCCTGAAATGGCACAGGCGGCCTTAGAAGGATAAGTTTATAATAAATCCCTATATTTGGAAAACATTGTTGCTAAGCATCTTCTAACATTCAACAGAGTTTATAAAACTCATGTCACTGCTACATAATTAACAATTCATGTTTTCCAAAAAATGCAGTATGCTTATGTATGTTGTTAATTTAAAATGTTATAAATTTTGAGGGAATTAATAAAAGGCTATGCAACTAATTAATTAGAAAGGCAGTTTAATCCCAGGAGGAATACAAACATAAACATTAAATGTCAGGATGTGTTAGAGTCTAGCTTGTAAACAGCTTGTCCATTTGAGATAAAACATTTCAACATACAGCTGCTCTTTGCTTTAAAAAGGTGAACTACAAAACATTAGATCTTTGGACAAGTCACGACATATCAAACCACACTCTAGCTGAAAAATTAATTATAAAGAAAATATAACTTTTGAAAATAAGTTTCACACCCAATCACAAACACCAAATGTTATATCTGCTCAAATAACGGGAGATCTAAGTGTTGAAAGCAACAGTGCCTATTGCATGTAGTACTTCCAACTTTCATATGCATTATGAGAACAACGCTAAAAGATATGGAAAATATTTAGTAACCTGGAATAAAAGATTAGATATGTTGAGAGTAAGCACACTGCAAAAGATGCAGCATCACTCCTACAAAGTATGGACTGTAAACTTTCCATCCTCTGAAAAGGCACGTACAAGCTACATAAATACTACAGGGGTTTTGTATTTGTATCCTACAAATAATAACCTTTAGATTACAGAAAAAATCAGGAAGCCTAACTCAGTATGTTCTAAGAAATTCTGAATCACTTCAATTCATGCCATTACTGGACATATGTGTACAACTTTTGTTAAAAAGTACAGAGCTTACTTCACTATGCGGCAGCCCAGGAAGAGGGAAAATCATCAGACAACATATAAAGAGCACAAACAACATGCAGGTCCACAATCTTAACTAGGAAATACACATGTCTGTGTTCTTTCTTGTATTCTTAATTGTTAATTAACTGATTTACTTGTGCCTTTTTTTTTTTCCCAGAATTATTTGCCACCTTTAAATTTTATTTAGTACCATTATATATAACTGCAAAGCAAACTTAGACATTCATTTTCCCTTGAGTGGGAAAGTTAAATAATAATTTGGAAGAGCACATTACTATCACAAAAAAACCTCTGAGAGGAAACAACACTATTAGAGATAGTCAAAGAATTTCATTCCCTAAATTTAATCCAGTTATTTAAATCAGTTACAGAGAATCTCCAAAAACTGGGTAATTGATTGCCCTAGATCAGGGATTCTCAAAGTACAGTTCTTGGACCAGCAGCATTGACACACCTGCAAGCCTGTTAGAAATGCAAATTTTGGGCCCCATTTGGATCTTCTGGACCTATAGGAATCAGCAGGATAGTCCTCAGCTTGTGTTTTCACAAGCTCTACAAATGATTCTTACATAGATTGGAGAACCACTTGTGTAAATCAGCGAATCCAATGCCCAACTAACAGGCAAGTGCAGGACTGGCTGCTTCAAAATCACTTGGAAAACATTATAGATCCCACCTCCAGCTCCCTAACTCCCTTAAACAATTAACTATGAGTGGAAATGTGAGTGTGAGCATGAGTGAGGGTGTGTGTAGTTTCCCAGGTGCACCTGATGCATAATGAGGTTTAGGAACCAATGCCCTAGGTCAATAACTCTCAAAGTGTGGTCCCCAGATCAGCAGCATTAGCACCAGCATCAGCATTAGCTGGGAGCTTGCTAGCATTCTCAGGTACCAGATCAGACCTACTGAATCAGAAACTCTGGGGATGGGCCCCAGTAACCTATTTTAGTAAATTCTACAGGTTCATGCAGTCACAATCATTACACTGATCTTAGAATTACCTCTAAGGTTAGAATAATTGTTTTTTCAAAGAGTCATGGTAATATCTTCATATTTGGAGCAATATTAATGATGTCTGGTATATTATAGGTGCTCAAGAAGTATTTGATTAGTTGAATTGAATAAGAAGAATCTGAGAAATATCTGTGAAATCTAGGAGACATAATTATTACCCTATACACCCTTGATAGAGGTGAACAGTGTTTATTAATTTTAGAGTTGAGCTTAGTTTTGTTTGTAAACACCTCGGGAATCTCCTCTTTTTTCCACCCTTTATTGCTTTCAGAAATCCCTGCTTTGTGCTGAGGAAAGAACTCTTAAGAAGTTATTGTTACCTTTATAAGTAACAATGAGCAAGTGCTATGTAATCTTCAAAAATGTAGGACACTGAGGCTGCTTTAAATAACTGCTGTTAGTCCATTTTTGCCTTCCCACTGACAGATTACTAAGCTTTGGTTCTGATACAGCCTTTCACTATATTTGTTTAAAACAAGTGCTTTTTGGGAGGCATTTTCATTGTTCACCAGTTGTGCTATGTTTAAGTGGAGTGCTTGTAAATGGCCACTGGCCTATATGGGTAGTTAAGGCATCTTGACCAGATTTGTGAGGTTGACACTAAGAGACTCCATCTCCAGGAGATGTATTTCTGGGTACGTAAGTTAAATCTCTCTCTGTTACTTATTCTTTCCCATTAAATTCAGGTTTGTTTCACATATTTTTAATTTTAATCCTACCACTTTAAATCCTTGGAGTTTCACAGTTGTTTCAGCTTTCCCTCTAAGTCACACTGCTAACCAAATTGATAATTTACTCAGTCTTTAGTCATAAATTATAAAACTGTTCCAATGAGAAAATGCAGTGCACTTCACAACCAACATCAGTCTGCTTTATAGCACTGTTTCTAAGAACATCATGGAAAAACCCTGACTAACTACCTAAGTGTAAGTCGTTCAAACAGGTACAAAAGATAAGACCACTGAAAATAACTGATGAGGCCGGAAGATGCTTAGGGCTTTTTCTTCACTTTCTTTCTCCCTTTCCTTTATCTAATTCTTCCTATCCTCCTTTTTCTTCCATTTTTTTCTTCTTCTCCTTTACTGCCTACTAAATTAGGTAACTATGAGTCAATCATTTGGAGGTAAAAGTTACTGCATTTCTATTTCTGAACTGAAGCTCTAAAATAACTGCTACAGTTTGAATGTCCCTTCCAAAATTCATGTTGAAGTTTAATTGCCATTGTAATAGTATTAAGAGTTAGGACCACTGGAAGGAATTAGGCCATGAGACCACAAGGACATTAATCCTCAGGAATTGATTCATGCCATTACAGTGATAGTAGGTGTATGGCAAATGCACCTGATAGCAATAACTCAAGAAAGGAGGGTTGCCACATGGAGGCTGCTGGAGGGAGGATGCTAAGAAAAAGTGCTATATAAGCTGCATGCTTTTTCAAGCACTTGAGGTTCTCCTGTCTAGTCTGCCACCACTGGACTGTTCCTGTATGTTAGTTCTCCCTAATAAAACCCTATGTCTTATTTGCTAGCTCCAGGTCTCTTTTGCTTCTTGAATCTGGTGCCATCCTTATGGATGAAATTAACTGGGACCCAGTACCACAACTGGTGAACACGGTAGGAAGCTGGAGAAAATCTCATGAGCACTGAGACAGTAAGATAAGGAAAGGGGAAATATGAGGGGGAAATAGCAGGCTGACCATAACATTTATGTGGGGCCCAAAAGCCACTATCCTTATGAATGGGGCCTAATGTATGAGTATAGGAACACACCAAAAACACCATTGCAGGGGATGGATCTAAGTTAGATGCCCAAGCTGTGACAGCCACAATTGGCTGGCCATTCTTGACTATGCTCCAAGCAACAACTGAGACTGAGCTCCCAGCACAGGCAAGTGGTCATCTGCTATAGGACAAATTATGACTAGAAAGACATGCCAGACTAGCTCAAGCTAAAACATCAGAGACCCTACTGTCCAAACTGCAGAAACAGGATGACAAAATGGAAATTCTAGCTTGTCAGGTAGCCCATTTGAAGGGTCACCAGCTCCCATGCCAAGTTAGAAATATATGACTAAATTTTCCTGGGATTCTAAGTCCAGGGACCCAATAGAGAGCTCTAGTGAGGAGCAGTGAGGACTGGGATAAGCCCATAGAGGTTCCTGTCCTCTCTGTCCATCCGTAGTCACTACCAAGAGAGTCAGACTAATTGTGTCTGTAGGGAATAGACCTACAAAACTTGTCTCTGCCTGAAAGATGGCAGCACACCACAATGCAGCACTACACCACTGTGGAATTGGTAGAGCTGGGCAGAAGCTGGGTTCAGGAAGGAGGAGAGACAGCTGATTGAGAGGTGGCTTCTCTGTGTATGGGACATGGGGATGGAGAGTCCAGACTCAAGATGAGTGGAATGGCATCCAGTGCATGCCACCCAGCCATGAGGCACCACCTCAATGGTGCCAATAATGAGGACCAGGCCATGCCCCTCTGTAGCTGGGTGGTTGTAGGCTGCAATGAAGCATGGCCAAATGAGGGCATCTCCTTTGCGATGGCAGACTATGGAGGAATTGCAGGACATCCTCTGGGAATTAGGGATGAAACATGCTGTCTATGCTGAACATTACCGAGATACAACAAAGGGCTTTTCACTGCCAATATGAAAAACACAATCTTACAATCTGCACCGAACCAATAGTATGGTGTGCTAGTGTCTATCCAGAGCCCCCTAGTAGGACAGCCAGTGTCTCAGGCCGCCCAAGCAGCCCCCAACTTAGAAGAAACGGAGAAACTGCGTAGGTGAAGGGTACATACTGCTGGGATGAAAGGCAAGGGTGCCAACGGAAAGGAGACAGTCAAGGGGCCCATCAGGGTGACTGACGAACAAATGTGGTACAAACAGCTACTATGAAAACAGATAACCTAATGCTGTTCTGGTCAGACTGTAGCGGAAGCTGACACCAGAATTCTGCTTCACTAAGGAGCCTCAGGTTCAGTCCACCACCCTTCCTGCACAGGGATGGCAGGTGTCAACCCCATTAGACTGGATGAAAACCAAGGCCCCGGAGTCCCGATAAGAGTAATAATGGCCAGGGTACCTGGGGACCAGAGGCCACACGAAGAACTAACTATATATTGGTCACCTAAGAATAAACAGACTGTGTGTACCCTAGTGGATACTAGGGCTGAATGTACTTTCATATATGGTGACATTCATTGGTTCAAGGGCCTATAACAGCAATAGGTGGTTATGGAGCGGGGGTCAGACAAGTTGAACTAGTATTATAAGTTGGGAGACTGCCACCAAAACCCTACTTAGTATGCATAGTTCCCATCTTGGAATACATCTTGGGAATGGATATCTTATGAGGTTTGACCCTCCAAACGACTACTGGAGAGTTCTGCCTGAGTGGTGAAGCATGTGATCAACAGGAAAGTGAAATGGACACCAGTACATTTGCCAATCCCACACGGCAAGTAGTAGCACTGAAGCAATACTGCCTGCTGGTGGACATAATGAGACCACAGAGATTGTTAAGGAGTTAGCCCAAGGAGGCATTATAAGGCCAGTGCACAGCCCACACAACAGCCCTGTATGGCCCATGCAGAAGCCTGAGGGGACATGGACAGTGACAGAAGGTTACCGGGAATTAAATAAGGTGGTCTCCCAATGTATGCACCTGTTCCCAATATCTCTTCTAAGGAGAGCAGGAGAGACACTGGGCACATACTATTTTGTTACTGATTTAACCAATGCCTTCTTCAGCATCCCCACTGCCCCAGAGTCAAAACCAATTCACCTGGGAAGAACAACAGACCTTTACCGTCGTGCCCCAGGGATATTTGCATAGCCATGGTGGTCTTGAAGGGGTACATGTTTTCTATTACACTGAAGATATCATGCTAACTTCTGAGTCTTTTTTCAGCTTTCAAACTGTGCCCCCCCACACCTTGCTGTCTCATCTAGCAAACAGCGGATGAGCCATAACACAGATAAAATCCAGGGTCGAGGCTTATCAGCCAAATACTTGGGTCTGCAATCATGGACAGGTGCAGGCATACTCACATTCTGTGACACCAAAAGCAGCTGGAAACCTTCTTAGGACTCATAGGGTATAGGCATTCTTTTATTCCACATTTGGCCCAACTCCTTAGACCCCTATACTGTTTAGACAGGAAGGGGGCCCACTGAGACTAATCCACAAAGGAGGATGAGAACTTTGAACAAGCTAAAGTCACAGTGAAACAAATACAAGCCACGGGAGTCCAGGTGCAGAGACGGCCTTGTGAACTAGATGTAGCCATTATCCTGAGGGGTTTGAGTGGGGCTTGTGGCAAAGCAGAGAATATATGTGTGCCTTTAGGATTCTGGTCCCAGCTATGAATAAAAGGTGAAGTTAGATATAGTGCCATGGAACGACAACTCTGTGCTATACATTACGCCTTACAACAAGTGGAGAATATTACAAAGGGGGTCCCAGTGCTAGTACGTACCCAGTACCCCAAAGCAGGTTGGCTAAAGGGTATCTTCCAGAAACCAAAGTCTGGGAATGCCCAGACACAGACTGTGGCCAAATGGCATGCATACCTGCAACGGAGGAGCACACAAATAGCCCCTTGAGCTCAGAGCTCCATTCGGTGCTTGGCCCTGTCATCTATGTAAAAACTGTCACATAGTCTTTGAGGGAGGCTGCTGAATCTCCATAGATTCCCTCCTTCATACAGGATGGACAGGGCCCAATGTCTGACTAGGCCTGGTACACTGACAGCTTGTCACGAGGCAATCCTTGCACTTGGACAGGTACGGCCATTCAGCCATCCACTGACAGTATCTGGATTGATACAGGCCAAGGACATAGCAGCCAATGAGCTGAGCTGCAAGCTGTCTGGATGGACCTCCTCTATAAGCCAGATCCAACAGTCCTATGTACCCACAGCTGGGCTGTCTGAAGTTAACAGGCATCCAGCATGACATTTTTAAGGAAAATTGTGATTCTCCAGCATACACTTCTCCCTGATTTCCAAAGCATAATATATCAATAAATATCATCTTCATCAATACTGCCACTGATGCACCTGATTATGTGTGTGTGCATGTGTGTGTGTACTTTGGAAAAGTCTGATAGGATATAGTTATCCCTTAGTGTCTATGGGGTATTAGTTCTAGGACCCCTGAGATACCAAAATCTAATGACAGCTCAAGACCCTTATATAAAATGGCTTAGTATTTGCATATAGCCTATGTACATCCTCCCATATAATTTAAATAATCTCTAGATTACTTTTACCTAATCCAATGTAAAGCCACTCGCCATGCGGCTACTACAATGGGAACCATAGGACTAGACAGTAGCAGGTCACCTCCTTTGGGGTAGTGACACATAGGACATTCAGCACTGCATCCAGGGGATGCATAAAATCATCTACCATGGGTATCCCCATACTGCATCTACACCACCTGGAAATGAACAGGCAGACAAATTAACCTGCATTTGTCCCCTCAAGGGAGGCCCCACAGAAGAGGTGGTCAATTGGTTACAAAAGAAGACAGGCCTTTGGGCCATAGCAAAGAATTGGGGCATGCCACTATGATACAAAGACACAGTACACATCTGTCAGCAATATCTTACCTGTGCACAGGAGCGCCATAGGCCCTTGCCACCTGATACCAGAAAGACCACCAGGGGCCAGAGCCCAGCACAATGGTGGCAGGTAGACTACATAGGATCTTTGCCTCTATTGGATGGCTGCCACTATGCCTTGACTTGTGCAGAAACCTGCACGGGGCTACTACGGGCATATCCCAACAAGCATGCCACACAAAAAGCCACCATAAAACCAGAACAGCTGTGTGCAGCCTACAACGTCCACATCAGTATTAACAGGACCAGGGCTCACACTTTACCAGATATAAACTGCAGGAATAGGAAGAGGTCCTGGATATCCACTGGCATATCCGCCTGCCGTACAACCCTACAGCAGTGGGGCTAACTGAACAAATGAATGGACTGTTGAAACAATTCCTACAGGAGATGTGCTCTCTGGCTCTGTAGACACATTACTTACCAGCAGCCATGCATAACCTGAGCGAACATGCATGTTCTCATCACCCCATCATGTATACTCTTCTGACACAAGGATGTGATACCACCATCAGGATCCAGGTAGATGGGGTAAAGGACAGTGTACCTTTGCCCTCAACCTGGGACACAAAGTAACCTTCTATTGCCCTTGCCAAAGGACCTACCTACTGGGGAGCACATCATTATGTGGTTCTGGGAAATGGTAAACCAGACCCTGATGGTTCTGTTTTTCTGCTCCATGGGGAAGGGTCTATATCAGGATATACAGGTCACACCTATTTTACACTATACTCTCCATCGTAATGCTAAAATAACGAATCCTAGTCCTCCCTTGTGCAAGGGGATGAACATCCTCCCATGATGAAACCTTTTAGTACCTCCACTGTCTTCCTCTGGCCTCCTGCAACACATTACAGAGGAGGGCCAGTCCATTGGGTATTGTAAACCAGGCATCGGGCTGCTGCTGCCAGGGGTGGTGCTCTCTCGGAAGGACAAAACTCCCCATGTTTTGTTAAATGGCCAGGACTTGTCCTTTCTTGTACCCACTAAACACCTCACCTTTTGCCCATAGATGGGGTGCCACAAATCTCTCCACTGACTGGATGCAGATGGTTATCTCTCTCCAGAAAAAAAGAGACTGCTGGGTCTGTGGAGCGATGCCCCCTCCTCCACTGTCGGCCTGCCATGCCACACCCAAGCAACTAACATTATACTTGGTATAATGACCTTCACCTATTTCCCTTCAGTGACAACAGCACCTCTTGCAGCAAGTTTCCCACCACCAACGACACGAGATGGCATATTTCCTGCTTGGTGAGGGAGCAAGTTAATGTCACTCCTGCTGTGGGTAGGCTATACATGATGATGGGCTAGAGTAAATGACAGCAGTATAGATAGATATAGTGGGTCATGCACCCCTCTTTGTAAAATCGCATGGCCATAGACATCTTAACCCCAAGGGCAGAACCTGTGCATTAATTAAAACCTGTTGTGTATATATTCCTGATAACTTTCACAATGTAACCCAGGCCATGCAGGCCTTAAATACCCATATTTCCACTACAGAATCTAAGTCTTACAATCCTATAACCGTCTGTTTTAATCAACTCCCAAACCATTGAAAAACCTTCTGTATAGTATGATTGTATCTTATATTTGTTATTCTTTTTTGTTGTAGTTTATATTGCTACTGCAGCATCTGGCTGCAATGCTCCTCCACATACCTGGCCCCAGGGATATCACGACAGAATGGTATAAGAATGAGAGGGCCATGGAGAGGTACACTGGTGCAGAGTATATGGTAGATGCAACTGACAGCAATAATTTAAGCATATCCTGAGAATGAATGACCCTGTATTGCAGATGCCCCTGACAGCAATAACTTGAGAAAGGAGGTTGCCATGTGGAAGTTGCTGGGGGGAGGATGCTAAGTGAAAATGCTATACAAGCTGCATGCTTTAAGCAAGTAATTGCAGTTCTCCTGTCCAGCCCACGACCACTGGACCACCCTATAAGTATGTGCTGCCAAATAAGCCCTAAGTTTCATTCATTGGCTCTGTGTCTCTTCTTCAGCCTCTCAAACCTGGTACCATCCCTACTGAAGTTAATAGGGGTCCAGCATGACACTCAATTTTAAGGAAAATTGTGATTCTCTAGCTTATACTTCTCCCTGATTTCCACAGCACGATATAGCAATAAATATTGTCATCATCAATATTGCCACCAATGCATCTGATTACATGTGCGTGCGTGCGTGCGTGCATGCGTGCGTGCGTGTGTGTGTACTTTGGAGAAGTCTAATACATAGTCATCCTTTAGTATCTACAGGGTATTGGTTCCAGGACCCCTAAGCACCAAAATCTAAGGAATGCTGAAGCCCCTTAATGGCTCAGTATTTGCATATAGCCTACACACATCCTCCCATATAATTTAAATAATCTCTAGATTACTTTTACCTGATCCAATGTAAATGCTATGTAAATATGGTTGACCCTTGAACAACTTGTGGGTCAGGGATACCAATCTCTGTGCAGTCAAAAAACTATGTATAACTTCTGACTCCCACAAAGCCTAACTACTAATAGCATATGGTTGACCTGAAGCTTTGCCAATAACATAAACAGTTGATTAACCGTATTTTTTGTTATATGTATTATATACTGTATTCTTACAATAAAGCAAGCTAGAGAAAAAGCAAGCTTTTTCAAATTAATGCAAAACTCCAAAAAAATTTCCAGTACATTTATTTTAAAATATTCATATATAAGTGGACCCATGCAGTTCAAGTCCTCATAGTTCAAAGGTCCACTGTAGTTGCAATACTTTTTAAAATTTTTATTATTTTTTACTGTTTTATCTTTTTATTGTCTTTTTTTTTTTCCTGAATATTTTCAAACCACAGTTGGTTGAATTCTCAGATGCTAAGCCCAAAGATATGGAGGGCTGACTGTATACACTATAATAGTGGTTATCCTTTAGAGGTAGGATTGAGTGTTTTTTATTTCTTTTTTATAGTTTTCTGAATCAACTAAATTTTTTCAATAAATTTTACAATTAGAAACAAAGCTACTTCCATTAAGAAATAAGCAAAATATAAATTATTTGTATGTAAATAAACTGGAGATAAGTTCATCAATATAGACTCACCATGGCAAATCACACTCACCTGCTTCATTACACAAGACTTTCAAGTCAGCTCCAACATATCCATGAGCACTATTTGCCAGCTGCAGCAGTTCAGCCTCAGTGAGCAAATGGGGTACCCTTCGAAGCAGTTTCTGGAGAATATCTAGCCGGTCCTGAGCATTGGGAACTCCAATCTCAATCTCTTTATCAAATCGCCCAGGTCTTCGGAGTGCAGAATCCAAAGCGTGAGGGCGATTTGTGGCCCCAAGGACCAACACTTGTCCTTCACTTCCTTCCTAACAAAATAAAATGAAAACAAATTTCTTATTTTTCTGAAAGTTAGAAAAAAAGAAGGGGGCATGCACTGGCTGTATAAACAAGGATGAATCATCTAACTGTCCAGCCTACTAAGTCCTATCCTACACTTTCATTACCTATCAATTACTTTTATTAGTAATAGATTTTTATTATGCTTTTATTACTTTATTACACATTTTTCAATGTTCAGCCTAACTGCTTCCTCCAGTAGAAAGTTTTCCAATACTTACCTCTCCATCTACTATGATATCTCTTACTTCTCACATCTTAACTGTATCAGTCTCATAAAAAAATATATAATACTGTACTATGTAATTGTTTTAACTGTTTTAAATAGTCCTTTTCCCTACTTGGATTATGACATACATAATATTCAAAAAGAACAATACTCTATTAGAAAGTTATCTAAAAAGTCTTCACTCACAGACTATTTTTTAATATGGATACATTTTTAAATTCCTGAAAATAGAGACAACAATATAACCAACATCCAAGTATCAGCCCCCCTTGAATACACAGGTATTTTTGCTCTCTGAAAAGGAAATTAGGAACAGCAAATAATAAAGAACTATGATCATGATCAGCCACCTGTAGAAATATACAATATTCTATTCAGATGACCCAGAGACAGGCATAACTAGGATATGATTTATGTTAAAAAATTTTTTAAAAAAAGCTCAAACCAAATCAATTACATTGCATGTGCCAACAGATAATGCATGGACTACAGTGAATCTACAAATTATAAGTTTAGAAGTACAAAAACAGGCCCTTAAATATATTCAGACTAACGCATCAGCATCACATTTCCATTCCTTGCCCAAAGGCAAGAACACTAATCCACAACAGGCTTATCCCCATGGCAGAGAAAAAGACAGCAGATTGAAATAATTAAGAGTCTCCAACATTAAGCCTTTCATCTGACGTCATACTTACCAAGAACCCTTGTAATTATAAGATAGCTCTCTATATTTGCCATCAAGGTGAAAATATAGTCATCTATAAACGCAAACATTTGGTCTGCTTAATACTTATATCTCCTGTAAATGGACAAACTAGCATACTATTTTATACATCATTCTCTTGTAAGTGTTATCATGGCTCAGTCTGTCCTCACAACTCTATCATCTCCAACATACTAATAACACTGAATTCTCCAATTTTATAACCTGAGAATCAAACCTGGGACATGACAATCACTCCTAGGTACTATTCCAGGACTGAGAACCAGGTAGTCAGCCAGTCTCCACCAGGTGACAACCCTTCTCTTACAGGCTCTTAAAATTATTAACATGTTAGTAAATAATAACAACTTAATGCCAATCCTTTATATTATTTTCACATGTTTACTTTCTATCACTAGACAATAAAAAACAAAAGTTCTAAATGACCAGTTTTTTTAATGTACAAAAGAGACTTGATACTACATGATTTCTAAAATTTCTTTTGGTTCTAACATATTATGATTGTAAAAACTTTACTTACAATCCAGCATAAAAAGTGTTTTTCTAATTAACGGATGTCAGGAGGCTTAGAAAATTTTTGTTCATGCCTACTCTCTTGTTAGTCCTATGAATATTCCTTCCATAATTAGCATATAGTTTTTATTAATAAAAGAATGTATACCCTATCAGAGAATCTGGTAACATGAGTAATTCTTTTTAAATGTTGTACAAAACATTTTCCATTATTCTCACTTTCTTTCCTTTCATTTCCATAGTACAAAGCCTTGAAAGAGTCCATTTTTTACATGGGTAATAAGACTTACTCATGGCATTTCTTAATAAAATCCTCAAGGGCCAGGCAAAGTGGCTCAGCCTGTAACCCCAGCACTTTGAGGATCACAAGGTAAGGAGTCTGAGACCAGCCTGGCCAAAATGGTGATACCCTGTCTCTACTAAAATTACAAAAAAAAAAAATTAGCCAGGTGTGGTGGTGTGTGCCTGTAATCCCAGCTACTCAGGAGGCTGAGGCAAGAGAATCGCTTGAATCTGGAAGGCGGAGGTTACAGTGAGCCGAGATCGTGCCATTGCACTCCAGCCTGGACCACAAGGCGACACTCCGTCTCAAAATAATAATAAAAATAAAATAAAATAAAATCCCCTAAAATTTAACTGCTCAATCTTCCTTACTGATCTTTGCTTCAGGTTTTAAAGTTAACAGCATTTATCACAAAACAAATCCATCATGGTATAGTATTTTATATGCTAGAAAAAATATGCCAGGTTATGATGTTGTCCTAGCAGTTACTAAGTAATATACTATAACAAATTATTTTACAGGTCTTTCCTCTAGTTGCTATGGCTAATATTTTGTCCTTATCCTAAAATATCCAAAGGCTCTGACACATTCAACAGTTTTTGCCCCTACCTATGTATTTAAGAATTAACCCTACACAGAATCAATACTAGCACTATACTTACCGAACCAATGCCATCCATTAGTGTTAAGAGTGAAGCCACAACTCTTTTCTCCACTTCATTCTGAGCTCCCTCTCTTTTTGGACAAAGTGCATCTAGCTCATCAATAAAAATAATTGATGGGTGCCTAAAAACAAACAAGTAAAATGAAATCTCTCGTCTACTTTTGATTTTGAATTTTACTTAGTTTCAGTTTTAATTAAAACACAACATATCAAATTTAGAATTTACTTAATATTATAAAGATATTATGTTAAGCTAAAAAACCTTAGAAATGCTAACTCACTAACCTCATATACTATCTACCCCATTAAAAGTCTGGGTAATTGAGTAAATCTACCGCTTAAGAGATGAGAGTCTCCTAAGAACTCTCTCAGTAATGCCCAGAACTCTTCCAGTAATGCCCATTAAGTTGTTATGACTGGATCAATTCAGAAGCTGAGGCCAGAGATACTGTCCCTTTGAGTAGGGTTAAAACCAAAGGACACAAACTAGAAATGCCGTGTTATTTTTAAACTATTAAAATTAAAATTTGTAGCCAGGTGCGATGGCTCATGCTTGTAATCCCAGCACTTTGGGAGGATGAGGCGGGTAGATTACAAGGTGAGGCATTCCAGACTAGCCTGGCCAATATAGTGAAACCTGGTCTCTACCAAAAATACAAAAAATTAGCCTGGCATGGTGGCAGGCACCTGTAATCCCAGCTACTTGGGAGGCTGAGGCAG